GACAAAGCTATTCTTAATGAGGAAATGTTGTTACTTATACACATTAACTACATTATATGATTTCTATGTGGCCCAAGACATCTCTTCATTAAATATGGTTCAGATAAAGCAGGTAGGTCCAACTTGTGGGTGATGGATTGGACACATCTGTTAGTGCCAGGCTAAGCTTGGGAAAGGGATCATAAGTACATGGAGCATGTGTGCGGTTGGCCAAGAGGACATAATGGGTGGTAACAGTAGCATCACCCAAAGCCACAGGGAAGGAGATGGAAGAGGACCAGCAGGCCCAAAGAGTGGATTTCAAGAATGAAGAGTGCCAGGGGGGAAAGCATGAGAAAAAGTTCATCTGAAATTAAAGAAATGCAAAATTTAAGCAACTGTCTCTCATATTGGCAAATACTAAGAAGCATAAAGTTCAGTTTCATACAATGAAGAGCTCGAGACATGGATGGTAACAATGGTACAACAGTGTGAATGCTACCAAAGTACGCAGTGAAAGAGGGCTAAAAGGGCAAGTTTTATAAGACATATCCCTTACCACAATAAAAGAATCAGAGGAAAGTGTATCACATTGAGCACTGGCAAGAGTCCTGGAAGACGGGTGACACAGGACAGCCCAGTGGCATGAATTAAAAGCCCTAAACTGCAGCTATTCAAAATGCTGCCATAGATTGGTTGACATGGAAAAAACATACCAGCTTTTTTTTTAAAGCAAATTAAAGTGAATGAATGAGGCTATTTTTGTGATATGGATGCACATGGGGGGGGGGGGGCTCAGCTGGCTTTTTCCAGGGTTCATGGTGTTGATTTTTCTTCTTCATCCTCTTTTTTCTTCCTCTTTTCCATCTTTCCTTGTCTCTATTTTTCAAATGTCTAATGGTGAGTAGGTTTAAGATTTATTAGAAGGAAAATCAGGGCTGGCAAGACAGCTTAGTAGACTAAGCGCCTGCTTAGGTAAGTGCAGGAACCAGGGTTTGATCCACATGCTGCACCAGTCCTGCCCTCAGGCATGCGGAGCCAGCCACGAAGACCAGGCATGGTGGCACAGGCCTGTAATCCCAGTGCTAGGAGGCTGAAAATAGAAGGATCACTAAGAGTCTGAGCTTCGCCATGAGATCCTGTACCAAATACATTTTTAAAAAATAATAATAAAGGAAAAAAATCAATGAAAATCATTTTAAAAGAAAGGCGGTTTGGTCAACCATGTCCAGTTGGACAAAGCGACAAGAGGGTGATGACCAAAGAGCAGCCATCTCCATTATCAAGCCAGGAGTCCCTGGGGATCCCCAGAAAGCTTTCCATAGTGGAGAGGAGAAAGGGCAGACTGCCAGCGAGTCAGAAAAGAACAGTAGGCAGGAAGGGCAGCAGGGTGAAGGAGAGGCCTCTGGAATGTTGGCCGTGAAAATCACAGAGGAGCAGCTACACAAAGAACACTTCCAGCGTTGCTCTTGAAGGTAAGGGGAGGTGGTTAGAGGCCTTCAAGCTACAAGTCAATGGAGGAAACGCCACAGAAAGGAGCCCAAGAAATGCCAAGAGGCTACCACAAGGCTTCTGCTTCTGAGGGCCCTTACGAAGGCCATACAAGGACAATAATCCCCAGTCAGACAGGTACAGAAATAATGAAACACAGCTTTGTGTCTCCTAGATATTTACTGTAGACTCCACAATTCATGAAGCCCTAACTCCCCTGATAATA